GGTGAACACAAAAATTATTATATAACATCGATATTTGAATATATCAACGTCTTAATGCTAAAATCAAAAATTTTTTACTCAACCCTAGAATGTTATAGAATACAAGGAATTCTCATTAACTGTCATCTTTTTTTACTTTTATCATTGTTTCGGAACCTCTATCCTGGGAAGAACCAGCAAGAAACCCAGACGATCATTTTTTAAAGTAAAATTATACAATAACAAACACAGATGGTACAAATTACAAAACTTATTTAAGACACAGCTTCAAAGCTATCACTTCATTCCCGGGGGTTTTTATCAACCATGTATTTATTTATATTACAATTACTACTTTTTACGCCAACTAAAGTTAACTTAAGCTGCTGTTTTACCCTGGTATTCTGTGAGAGCGTTATCTTCCCCGGCCAAGCATACTCAATTGTGCTACAAATATAATATAGCTGCAGCATGGCTCTACCATGTATAAAATTACAGGCAGTAAAGCATTCTATGTAAGTGCATAGACATGACAACGCAACTGAAGCCTTCTTTATTGGGAGTTGCTTACACCTGGACTGATGGGTTGCAGAACCGACTTAGCAAGAGGACTGTAAGTTCATTTGCGACTTAAATATAAAAAGTGCGACAAGTCGGCGATCTTCTATTCTATCCCTGAACTGCCATGACTATATTTCTTTAATAAGTGTCAAAAGTTTTATACTGGCTTATTTGGACTTGCGATTGCGCCGCGATAGATAGTGTGCTACTTTTCAGTACACATATGCAAGAGTGTACGTTTACTCACACATTTTCCAAGAAAAAATATAGCTCTATAAATCTGGTTACGGAATAAAATTTGCCTTTTCTAAGAAAATAGCAATTCTTTTAAAGAGCAAATTATAGATAACATGTTGTATTTAGTACTTTTTTATGAAAGAGGGGACAAACGAGCATGCGGCTCACCTGATGTTAAGTGTTGACCGCCGTCCATAAACAACTGCAACACCAGTGGAATTGCGGGTGCAATTCCTTGGTGTTCCAGTTGATGTTGCATCTGAGTTACCAGCCTTTTAAAAAGGAGTGAACGCGAATCTTGAAGGTCAGAAAGAAGACGTGCAAGAAGTAAACTCAAAAAATAAATCCCACAGTAGGGGACTGCCAAGGTGTCTAGCATTCAGGTCATGAGGGTGGTAACGTGAAATTTGTTGCGATGCGCGTTACTAAGGATTTGCTTTTGGTATAATCCTCTGAGGTTACTTTACTCTTTACTTAGGGCCCTAGGGTTAGGTAGTTATTTCAGCCAAGGACTCGCCATAGCTCCCCGTTGTTACGTCGTTATTCCGATTGTGTCCGTATCATGCCGTGTTCGAACCCTGCTGGCTCCAATTATATTGTTAATTGCAATTTTAAATGCTGATTTACTACGTACTTTGCAGTGAGGGAAAACATCGTGTGGAGCTCGAATAGCGCATCAAAACAATTGCTCAATAAACTTCTCAAAATTAATGGAGGCCTGTGCCCAGCAGTAGACGGTAACTTAACTTTTTTAACATATATAATTTAAATATTAAAGTTAGTACCCAGGCACTCACTCGAAATGCTAAGGGCTGGAGAGGAAGTGGTGGCAGGCCTGCTGCACACCTTGTTTAATTTATGCTGGGAACTGAAGCGGGTACCGGTAGACTGGTGCAAAGCCGTGATAGTCCCACTATATAAAGGAAGAGGGTCGCAGCAGGACTGTAAAAACTACCGTGGCATCAGCCTTCTTAGCATTGTGGGAAAACTGTATGCTAAGGTACTGATTGAAAGGGTCATGAAAGAAACTGATGGAAAAATTTGGGATGTGCAAGCGGGATTTAGAAACGGAATGGGATGTACAGATCAAGTCTTTTCCATGCGCATGATCGCGGAGAAGTTTGTGGCCAAAAACCAAAAGGTTTTTTGTGCGTTCATGGACATAGAAAAGGCCTATGACAGAGTGGATAGGGATTTGCTATGGCAAACACTGAACTCATTTGGGTTGAGCGCTTGGCTTGATACAGGCATTGGAGTCTCTTTATAGGGACTCTAGTCCTTGTGTTAGGATCAACGGGGTCTACTCGGACTGGTTTGACATCCATAAAGGTGTCAGACAGGGCTGTGTGGCTTCCCCGTGGCTGTTCAACCTATTTATGGACAGTTGATTGCAAAATTTGAAAGTTGAAGAATGCGGATTAAGAATGGGTGAGTTAACCGTCAAATGCCTTTTGTACGCCGATGATCAAGTTATTCTTGCGTCGTCGGCGGCCGAGTTGCAAATGATGGTTATATTAATGAACGGATCATTAAAAGAAAGGGAAGGTTATGGTTTTTGAAAGAGAAGAAATTAAAACGATTTGTGAAATAAGAATAGAAGGGGAGTTGATCGAGCAAGTAGATGAGTTTGTATATTTGGGCTGCGTATTTAGCAGGGATGGGAGATATGATAAGGATATAGAACGACGAGTGAATGCGGGAAATAGAGTAAATGGGGCCTTGCACTCTATTGTGAAGAGTCAAAATGTATCGAAAAAGGCACGTATGGCAATTCACAATGCTGTGTTGGTCCCTACTTTAACGTATGGTAGTGAAAGTTGGGTGTGGCAGAAGAAGCACGAGAGTAGAATAAACGCAGTAGAAATGCGGTCGTTAAGGAGTATGTTAGGGCTGAATCTGAATGACAGTAGGTAAGAAATTGTGTAATAAGAGAAGAGTGTGGTTTGCAAGATGATGTTGTGACCAGGATTAAGAAAGGAATGCTTCGGTGGTTTGGTCATGTGGAAAGAATGGATGAGGAAAGACTGACAAAGAAAATTTATGTTGCAGAAGTGAATGGCAGAGTCGGAAAGTAGAAGTAGGTGTATGGATGTGAAGGAGGCAAGAGAGGTGTGTCAGGATCGTGCCAAATGGAAGTCTGTAGTCTCTGCCTACCCCTCTGGGTGACAGGCGTGAGTGTTTATTTTTATGTACCCAGGCACTTTGAATTACAGGTGCTAAAGAAATGAAATATATTTATTTAATCAACGTAATAAAATAAATTTCGTTTGTCAAATGCCTTTTCTTGTAAACTTACCTACTAAATCTAACGTTCCTCTGACCGGAGAACAAACGGCAAAAAAAACTGTGCAGGGATCCTCTTTTTAAAACCATCATTATCGCTCTGTTACGGTTTTGTATAATTGCTATTTATAAACGTGCAGTCGCTAATTAATTAATAACGAAGAACCATTTTAGTATTCTACGGTTCATTTCTAAGTATCAAATAAAAGGTATTCGAAGGAAAAATGTAAAATGAATGAATTAAAATTATATGAATGAATAAAAAGGGTACTTTTACTTTCTTTATCTTTTCATTTTTAATTTAAACCCGATTAAAATTTAATTTGATTAAAAAATCTGCCCTCAATCACGTAGGATGTTCATTTTTCTTTATTTTTATTGAATGACAGAATTAGTAGTAATACAAATAAAACTGCACACTTAAAAGTCTTATTGCCTTAAGTTACGGTCTATTTCATTTCGTTTTGACTGTACTTACAGATTTAGTGTTACTGTAATTTACGTAGTTTTAATTATTTTTGGGATAAAAAATTACCTATATTAAAAATTATAGGAATCAATTCACTGAACGATTCTGAACAAACTACTTTCTCAAAGTGCGTTAATTATGTTACATTATATATAAAAGAATCCACTACCGTGGGCTTCATATAAGAGACAGTAAAGAGAACCTGAAACAGGAGAGGATATTGGCAGCAACATATAATAAAAACTGCTTTCATTTACCTGCCAGCAAAGCGTGGTAACTTTGGCAAATATAACTTCTATGAAGTAACCGATGGGTGTGGTCTATATTTAGCAAGGAACTTTTGATAGGATTCTGTAATGAATGAACGAATAAATGATCTTTACAATATCAATCCGTAAACAGTCTATCCAGCTATTCCACAGAATAACACCTATGAGACGAGATAGAGCCTTCTGGTTGTAGCTTGCGTCACAAATGTATCGGCTCCGTAGGGAAAGAACTATGCTCCTACAGAATACCAGCGCAATATAGCAGATAATTGCTGCAGTATATATGGTAAGTGTACAGAACCGCAGACCCCATTTTACTGGTGATTAAGCATTCCAACTTTGTCGTTCGACATATTTAAAAAGGTATAAAAACTCTCAGTAATAATTTCAATCTACATTTTAAAAGGCTATGCGAAATACCTTAACGAACAATTTAAATTTGTTGAATTGACATAAAATACATATGTGGGAAGTGAAACCCGAAACAACTGTCTCTTCAAGCACCGACCTTGGTTGTACTTGACGCACTGCGCCTTGCTGACTGAGGCGTCAACATACGATCGTGTTATATAATCATAGACATAGACTAGACATGCGTTTTGTTGGCATCAATACACTCAAATAAATAAAAAACATACAGAATAAGGGAACATAAAACTTTTGGTAAATCATGTGCATGCCTTAAGCGCTCATATTATATATCATTTTTTAAAAGTATTTTATATACACAAGTTTTTACTAACAACCTTATCTTCGTAATTCGATTCGATTTTTTTTCGTTTAAAAACTTCCGCGCATGCCGTTTTTTAACCTTGCGCCCCTCGGCACGTGCCTCGTTTGCCTTAAGGATAAGCCATGATTATCCGGAAGTAAGGTCTCATCATAACTAACAAAACGAGCCCAAACTCAGAACACCTGTTATTACTATTACAACTTTTCGGGGAGTTCCAGTTGCATCCACCGAAGTATACTTTCAGGTCACTCCACCAAGTCCCATCGTGACTAAAATAACGAGTGCAATCTCGGCACACCTAGTGCTGCTCGTCGAGAATTTCCAGTAGCAGATACCGAAATACACCTTCAGGTCACTCCACAAAGTACAAGACGTATAAGAATATTTATATATAAATCCTATGTGCTTTTAGCGAAACAATATATTGTAATAAAAATCTGTGATTAGAAAAATAATAATAATATCTTACCTTGGTCAAGTATGTATCAAGTTTGGTTTTTGGAATATTTTGCATTTCTCCAGCGATCGATATTTTTCATCACGAGCCGCTGTAAACCACAGAATAAATAATAGTACTACGTACTGTAAACAAACGATACAGTAATCGACTCACGACTGTTCTCTGTTTCTTGTATATACAATATACTCTGTACATGACGGCGGTCGAGCCCGGAAAACAGGATAAATAACCCGGAATTAGTCAAAGTGTATTTAGTAAAATATGTTATAACAAAGTTTCTCACCGAAAATTTCGGAATTGGTCGGCCGAAAAAATTAATCATAACTAAACAAAAGAAAGTTAAACTGCCATTTTCATTCCATGGCTTGTGATGACGTGATAGATGAAGAGATTAAAAAATAGATTGAGTTGAACAATTGACATTTCCAAAATTTGTCGTGTTTACCCCTCCATGCGGACTTGATAAATCCACACCAAAAGGCACTAAAACCACTTTTTTTAATGTAAAATTTGCAATTCATTGATTTGAAAAAAATAATATGTTTAACAGTCATTTATCTCTCTGAAAATGTGATTTTTATATCATTTATATGTTCAATATGATTGTTAGATATAATTCTATGCGACAAAACGTCGGATTCTTAATTTTTAGGCGCTAGTTTAAACATACGCATGCAAAAACTCTCAACAAAATGCAAAAACTCTCATTCAGAGGGCGCTAGTTGCCACGGTTAAGATCAGCTCCGTGTATTTCTGTTATTAAAATTATAAAACAGCTCGAATATACTAAAATATTAATTTAGTGCAAAGTAAAAACCTTATTAGTTGTGTACAAGTGTTATATAGTCTTCTCATTCACGAAATGTGCAGGAAAGAACGGTATTAAATACAGTTTGTTGTCCCTATAAATAATATTAATTGATGTGTTAATACAAGTTAATAAGTAAATAATAAAGTTCAGTGTTAATAACATTTGTTAATAGTAACATATGTTAACGTAAACCTAAGTGCAATAATAAATTACTATATACATTAAGTGTATTTTGCAAAACTTTTTATCGTGTGAAATTTGACGGTTCTTGTAAAAACTTTTAGTTTCGATTTGAATCAATGTCGTTGATCTCATCTACAAGATTATAAATAACGCCATCTATGTGATTATGCTTATATTGATGACAAATTATGGTTCTCTAATATCGATATTATTAATTGCAATCCTCGATCGAGTTTCCGTGCCACCAAAAGGTGGCGCTTTTGTACTTGGAGTATACAATAATAACATTACAAACTACAACTTCTTAAAAATGAATTGCGCTGGTTGTAATACAATCTGCAAGCCGGGGGCGCGGCTGCTGAATTGTCATGCCTGGGAAGGAATCTATCACATTGAATGCCTTAATATTAAGCAGCAAGAATTTTCTTCACTGTCTGAAGAATTTAAGGCAGCCTGGAAATGTCCCTCGTACAATAATGTTACCCGTCGTGGACGATCCAACTTGCTTAAGCCCGTGCGATCCACGCAAATACCTTCGGATGATAACACGAATATGTCATATGAAATCGAGGGCCAGGCACCCATCTCATCGTACAATCCTTGTACTCCGACTACACCAGCTGCTTTAGTCCACGACTGTGTTGCCCTAGAGACGGGTGCTACTTTCCATACATTTACACAGGAACTACATAAGACCTTTGAAGCGATATGAACAATACACTAACTGTATTCAAGTAGAATATTGTTACGAACTTGAGGTTCGTGACAATAAAAATTGCCGATAGAATTACCTAAATTAACACTTTAATTCACTTTACAATAATTAAAGTAAAAAAACACTAATAATTAATCACACTGATTCACTTTATTCCGCTCCGAAGCTTCGCTTGTCTCGCCGAATCCAATACTTCCTCGATCGCATCTTGCAGCGCCTATTTATATAAATTAGCAGCGAAATATCCAGAATATTCAAGTAAACACGCGCAAGGTACCGAGAGTTCGTGTTTCAATTTCAAGAAGTTTAGTTCTTCGGTTCGAGACTAGATGGCGCTAGTGCCGTCGACTTGAGCGCGTAACAATATCAAGATCACACTACATGACTGGCGAGATGAGATGGAGGCGAGTATAACTAAACTTAATGATGATTTAAAATTTGCTTTGAATGGATTCAGGGAGGAGATATACACCCTTCGTGCTGAACATGAGCGTCTAAAGCATCAAACTGCTGATATATCCTGTGATGTCTCAGAATTAAATCCATGCAATTTCTTTCCGGAGAACAAGACGATTTCAAAAAAAGTGGACGGCACAATACGTCAATCTACCGAACAATCCAGCCCAACCATTAGCAACAAGGAAACTAAGTTAAAGTTAAAGTCGATTACCTAGAGCAACAAGCCAGACAATGCAACATCGAAATCTGTAACATTCCTGAAACTCGCAGTGAAAACTTGTTAAACATAATGGGATCGATTAGTATGGCTATTAGCTTTCCAATTTCTCAGAAAGACATCTTGTCAATCCATAGAGTTCCCCATGCTCACCGTCAAACAAATAAGCCCAAGAATGTTATTGTGAAACTTTCATCGCGCATCCTTCGTGACAACGTACTAGCGGCTTTTCGTAAGGTGAAAACTCTCAAGACCGACCAGCTAGGTCTCACCGGATCGACAATGACCGTATATATAAAATCTTACACTGAAGAAAAAACAATTATTTCGTAAAACCAGAGATCTCGCCGCTATGCACCAATACAAGTATGTCTGGGTTCGGAATGCCACTATTTTGGTGCGCGAGCAAGATGGTGATACTGCTTTTGCTATCCGCACAGATGATGATCTTCGTAAGATCAAAAGTCGTACTAAAGGTGGTAATAAAAGGCCTTGTGGTGGTTCTACTCAACATACTCAGTAATAACAATACTTTTCATTATTATCATTATTCTTCCCACCATATATCTCGCTTAATTTCTTCATTAGGTGTCATTCTGTATTATACGTTTTTGTTAATAATTTTTATCGTTCTCTCATCCAAAAATGCAAACAAGTCAAATTATATAATTAATACTTTTGAAATAAAATTTTCCTTACACTATGTTACATTAGTAGAGTTATATTGTACTATTGCATTATGTTACACTTTTTTTAAATATTTATATTTATTTTATGGAGTATATATTACTATAAATAGTGCTATAATGAAATTATTTGGTATGATAACTGTATATAAACTAAACTTTTTAAACATAAAATAAGTGTGCCTTAAGTCAAAATTAAAAATAATGCTCAGTTTAATTATAAGTTTATAAACTGTATGTATATATTAATAAATTGTATGTTGATCCTAGGTTTATTATTTTGCCATATGTTGTTACACTTTGATAAATTACAAACTTTTCAATCACTTTAATTACTACGATTATGTGTTACTTGTCTTTTGTAGTATTATAATCTTTTTAAAAATTTATGAGTATGTCATAAGTATGTCAGCCCTTGATGAATATGAAGATATATTTTGCATCGTTTCTTCGTGGGGAATTGGAGGTTTGTCTTTGCTGCGTGACTGGTAAATTATATCATAATAAGGTAAAATATTCTTATTATTGTTTTAAAGACTTGAACATCGTAAGCGAAAATTTTTATATTACTGTTAATATTACATATTATTCTTAATTATTTGTAATTGGTAGCAAGCAATATTCCTTATACTATCAAAATTGCAGAGGTTTCCGAATAAAATTACACACACTATATATGAACATTCTAAACAGTAACTATAATATCATCGTACTCACCGAGACTTGGCTGATATCGGAAATTAGCAACAATGAGTTTATCGATCAACGTTATATTGTGTACAGGTGCGACCGTAATCGTATCAATACAAATAAACTAGATGGCGGTGGTGTTCTAATTGCGGTATTGCGTACACTCAGATCATCTGAGTTAAATCTGTCTTTGACTAGTGTAAATTTTTCATTGCATAACCTAATCGAACAAGTCATCATCGAAGTCCCTAGTAAGCAATCCTCAAAGCGCCATGTCTTTAGTGCTGCTTTCATACCCCCCCCCCCCAAAACACCCTATACCGTATACGAACTTCACTTTGAAACTTTACAAGAGGTACTGTGTGATCCTAATTTGGATTGTTTCTATATTTTGGGTGACTATAATCTACCAGATGTAACTTTGACACGAGGAACCACAGACGCCTTACATGGCAGTGGAGTAGGCTCATCCTTTAACTTATTATGTAATTTAATCTCATTTCTAGATGCCGCACAATACAGTTGTATTGAATACTAAAAATAAAATACTTGATTTATGCATATCAAACCGCTCGTGTAAGATATCGGCCGCTTTAAGTCCCCTACTTCCTGTTGACGCATATCATCCACCCTTTGTTTGTGATATAGCTCTCAATGCTGATATTGTTCCAATGAAAAAGCGGAAGCTTCAAAGGTACAATTTTTATAAGTCCGACTACACGCACATCAACCGCAAAATAGAGTCCACTGACTGGGATGAAATACTTACTCCACTGGGATCTGAACAAGCACTTAGCGCATTTTACGGAATCATTGACGAAATTATCAAACAACACACGCCATTTGTTGGCTCCAGAACCTCTTCTTTTCCGGTCTGGTTTTCGAAATCTCTAATTAGCACATTTAAAAAAAACGTAAAGCTTGGGTGAAATGAAAGAAATATAACAACATATCAGACTATGAGATGTTTTCCCAGTATAGAAAGTTATTTAAGGATATGTGTAATAAATGTTTTTCTAAATATATTGGATCGGTCGAGGATAGCATAAGCAAAAATATTAAGGATTTCTGGGTATACATCTCTAATCGTCGTGACAAACCTGGAATACCAGCTAAGGTTGAATATAATGATGATGTTTCAAGTGATCCACAGACAATATACAACATGTTTTCCGAATTCTTCTCTTCCATTTACGAACCGCCCTCACCTACACTATCGCAGTGGAGACCACCTGCCGACTCAGCATCCCATGACACTACTATTACTAATCTTCATTTTGAAGTAGAAAAGGT